CTAAACATTATTTTGTTTATTTTCTTCAAATAACTGCCCAAACCTCATATCTCTAAAATCAATAATGTTATAAATTAAAGATTGTGTTGATACCATACTTTACAACAACATGTTCTGTCTCGATGCAATTTATTATTTTCTGTGCAACGGCATTTAAAAATACAATATAAAACGTTTCAGTAAATGAATCACTCAGATTATAGGTAACATACTTTGAAATATTGTTAGATCATTTTATTATATTGTCCTGACTATATACACATGCAATCATCCCTAAAACCAGTGTCAATTAATCATATACAGTGGTAATCAAAATTATTTAACCCCCATTAAAAATCCGGTTTATTGTCAAAATGTACAGACTTTCAGCTGTTCACAATGAACAAATCAAGCAAAAGCAACTGAAATAGCTCCACAACGAATGCTTCAAGTGGATTCCCACATTTGACAACAATGCAATTTATATTGTCTTCTTCAGTCTATAATTATTCAATCCCCAGAATATAATCCCTCACAACACAAAAATGCAAAACAGGTGTTGTTTTAAGCACACCTGATGCAACTAATCAATGGCACCAGGTGTGCTTGAGCTTGAACACTTGAAATACCGGAACTGGCAAGGTTTTTTTTGTGTATCACGTTTGACAGCATGTTAGAAATATGGCTTAGTCCAAAAAATAGTGTACTAAGTTAAGAGGAGAGATCATCGCCCATCACAAACAAGGAACAGGATACATAAAGATAGCGAAGGCACCGAATGTTCCAAAGACACCATTGGAAGCATAGTTAGAATAGTTCAAGATTGAAGGAACAATGCTTTCTCTACCAGGACAGGTCAGACAAAGAAAAGTATTAATGTCTACAATTAGATTTCTGAGAAGGCAGGTTGTGAAAAACCCTCCAATGATTGCTGACTTGGTGGCAACAGGTACTGAGGTTTTAGTGAACACCGTAAGAAGCATACTAAATTCAGAAGGTTTCCATGCCAGAATTCCAGGATGTACACCAATATTGACCCAAAAGCACCAGAAATGCTTTGGGATTCTGTCCTGTGGAGTGAGGAAAGGAAACTGGAATTTTTCAGCCCAATGCATTAGCGGTATGTCTGGGGAAATAAGAATGAAGCATACTCTGAAAGGAGCACTCTGTCTACATATAAGTATGATGGTGGCTTGGTGATGCTTTGGGGTTGATCTGACACTGGAAATCTGAGGAAGGCAAGATTTATTGAAGTATCAGGAAATTCTAGAAGAAAATGTCATGCTGTCTGTAAGGAACTTGAAGCTTGGGTGTCATTGGACCTTTCAACAAGAGAATGATACCAAGCACAAGTCAAATTCCACAAACACTTGGTTACAGAAGAAGTCCTGGAATGTTTTACAACGGTCATCGCAGTCACCTGACTTGAATCCCATAGAAAATGTCTGGTGGGATTTGAAGAAGGTGGTTGCAGCATGCAAACCCAAGAATATTCCTGAACTAAAAGCTAAGGTTCATCAGGAATGCTGTCAGAAGCTGAGGTCTGGTTATGCATCTCATTTGCAGCAGGTCATAACAGCAAAAGAGTGCTCTGCTAAGTACTAAAGATACTTGCCATGAATGGGTTAAATAATTTTGAGACTGGAGAAGTCATAAGTAGAGATGAGGTTCGTATCGAACATTACGATTTTTGGACACCGAACCCGAACCTGGACATTTCAGTAACAGTTCGGGTTCGAGTTCCGTGTTCAGAAATTCAATGGCATGTTTTGAAAAGCTGCAGGGCAGCCAATCAACAAGTATTTGACTCATGTGCCCTTAGAAGCCATCACAGCCATGCCTACTAATGGCATTGCTGTGATTGGCCAGTGCAGCATGTGACCAAGCCTCTATATAAGCTGGAGTCACATGAGCTCTTATTAGTGTAGGGAGAGGATGCTGTAGCTTTGAGGGACAGATTAGGAAAGAATACTGCTGTTGAATCTGCAAACTACAGTGATTATTTTTGTGGGTGCTATACTACATTTTTGTACCCTGCCCTGAGCCCAGTGCCACAGAGAAATAAGCAATCAGTCTGTTGTTAGGTGGGCACTTGCAACTGTATGTGTGCCAGGCACATTACTTTAATCCTGTTCTGGTAGCTCAGTGGGCAACATCTAGACATTTTTAAATACTGCTGTGACATTGGAGTTTGACAAATTTAAATTTTTTTGGTGCTAAAAAGTAAATTTGTGGCGTGCACTTCATATCCGAGAGTCAAATAGAACCGTCAAATACTGTGGTTACATTGCACTTTGAAAAATTCAAATTTTTTTGGTGCTAAATAGTACATTTGCGGCCTGCGGTGCATTTCTTGCAGTCCAATAAAACCGTTAAATACTACTGTTACATTGTTGGTTTAAAAAAAATATAAATTTTTTTTGTGCTAAATAGAACATTTGCGGCCTGCGGTGCATTTCTTGCAGTCCAATAAAACCATTAAATACTACTGTTACATTGTTGGTTTAAAAAAAAATCACACTTTTTTGTGCTAAATAGAACATTTGCGGCCTGCAGTGCATTTCTTGCAGTCCAATAAAACTGTGAAATACTACAGTTACATTGTTGTTTGACAAATTCACATTTTTGAGACAGTGAAGTAACTGTATTAATTACGCCTGTCACACTTCTGGAAATTTTTTCTCTTTAGGACACCAGCACTGCCTTACTGTCGGTGAACTTAATTGTTGACTATTTGGCGCTTACATTGTCGCCTGACATAAACCATCTGTTAGTTTGGTGGGTGAATGCAAAGAATGAGGAGAGCGTCAAATAAGGGACATGGCCTTGGTCGTGGTGCTGCTGGTGTTGGTGGAGCTCCTGTTGCAGGGAGAGGACGTGGTCGACCTGTGCCAGCTACACGCACAAATGAAACACCTTCCTCAGGTGCGAGTAGGCGATAGAACCTTCAGCGTTATTTGGTAGGCCAGAATGTCGCTCTACGAATGGTGAGTCCAGAACAAGTACAGGCGATAGTAGATTTGGTGGCTGACAGTGCCTCCACTTCCTTCACATTGTCTCCCACCCGGTCGCCTGCTGAAAGCTCAGAGTTGGCACTTGCAGCCGATGGCCATCTGTCTTTCACCTCACCCCCTTGCAAATCAGGCAAGCAGTCTGAGCCAAAAGTCATGCAGCAATCTCTTATGCTTTTTGATGACTCTGCTGGTGGGGTTTCCGTGGGCCATCCACCTAGCCCTGTCCCAGAAGTGGAAGAGATTGAGTGCACCAATGCACAACCACTTATGTTTCAGGATATGGACATGCGAGGACCACCGCAGCACATCTCTGATGATGACAAAACACAGGTGCCAACTGCTGTGGCTTTATGCAGTGTGCAGACAGGCAAGGAGGGCAGGGTTGAGGAGTGGGAGGAAGATGATGTGGAGGATGATGAGGTCCTAGACCCCACATGGAATCAAGGTCATGAGAGTGACGTGTGCAGTTTGGAGAAAGAGGCCGTGGTCGCACAGAGGCACCAGCACAGCATAAGAGGGAGCAGGGTGCAAAAGCGGAGAGGCTGTCCCTTAGACAGTATGCGTGCTACTGCCCACCGCACCCATGGTCCAAGGAGTTCCCTGGCGTGGCAGTTCTTCAGACAATGTGCTGACGACAAGAGTGGTTTGCACGCTCTGCAATCAGAGCCTGAAGCGAGGCATAAACGTTCTAAACCTGAGCACAGCCTGCATGACCAGGCATCTACATTCAAAGCACGAGCTGCAGTGGAGTAAGCACCTCAAAAACCAAGAAAGATCTCAGGCTCCTCCTGCTTCCTCTTCTGCTGCTGTCTTGACCTCTTCCTCCACCTCTGGAGTGACAGTGGCACCTGCCACCCCGCAAACAGAGGATGTGGCAGCAACACCACCACGTCTGCCACCGTCCCCAAGCATCTCCACACTGTCCCATGGAAGCGTTCAGCTGTCCATCTCCCAAACACTGGAGAAAAAGAGGAAGTACCCCCCTACCCACCCGCGATCCCTGGGCCTGAATGCCTGCATTTCAAAATTCCAGGTCTTTGAAATGCTGTCATTCCGTCTGGTGGAGACGGACAGTTTTAAAAACCTGATGGCGGTGGCTGTCCCACAGTACGTGGTTCCCAGCCGCCACTAGTTTTCCAGACGAGCCATCCCTTACCTGTGCAACCAATTGGCAGACAAAATCAGGTGTGCACTGTGGCAAGGTCCACATAACCACTGATACGTGGACCAGTAAGAACGGGTAGGGACGCTATATCTCCCTAACTGCACACTAGGCAATTGTAGTGAGCTGAGCCTGTGGCGGATAGCAGTTTGGCGCATGTCCTTCAGCCACCGAGGATTGCAGGGCATTTCTCTTTGCCTCCTGTTGCCTCCTCCTCCTACTCCACTTCCTCCTCCTCTACCACCTCCTCATCCGGTCAGCTTCACCACCAACTTCAGCACAGCCAGGGGGAAACGACAGCAGGCTGTTTTAAAACTCATATGTTTGGGGGAAAAAACCCACACCGAGCCGGAGCTGTGGACAGGCATGGAACAACAGATCAAAGAGTGGTTTTTGCCACTGAGCCTCAAGCCCGGCCTGGTGGTGTGCGATAAAAGGGAAAATCTCGTAGCAGCTCTGGGCCTAGGCGGTTTGACACACATCCCTTGCCTGGCGCATGTGCTGAATTTGGTGGTGCAGAAATTCCTGAAAAACTACCCAGATATATCAGAGCTGCTGCAGAAAGTGTGGGCCGTCTGTGCGCGCTTTCGGCAATCTCACCCTGCTGCTGCTCGCCTATCTGCACTGCAGCGTAACTTCAGCTGTCCCGCTCACTAGAACTCCACCTTGCACATGCTGGAGAGACTGCGCGAGCAGCAGCAGGCGATAGTGGAGTTTCAGCTGCAGCACGCACAGGTCAGTCGCTCTGTGCCAGACTTGCCCTCCAATAGATGCTCGTTAAAGGATTTAAAGTGTACTCATTCCAATTACAGGGCCTTGAAAGAGTCCTGTATTGTTATTTTTCATCACTACCTCCCCGCGTCGGGAGTGGATAACTTGCGCGCCTGCTGCCTTCCTTGGATGTGGTAGCCGTTTCTCAGGCTAACTCTCCGGAATCGAACCCTGATTCCCCGTTACCAGTGGTCACCATGGTAGGTGCAGAAAGTACCATCGAAAATTGATAGGGCAGACATACAAATGCGTCATCCCCTTCACGGGGATGTGCGATCGGCCCGAGGTTATCTAGAGTCACCAATGACTGCCGAGTTGCCCACATTCTAACTTGTGCTGATTATTGGGTGGCCACCCTGCTGGATCCACGTTACAAGGACAATGTGCCTTCCTTAATTCCCTCATTGGAGCATGTTCGGAAGATGCGCGACTACAAGCGCATGCTGGTAGACGCACTGCTGAGGGCATTCCCAACTGACACCGGGGGCTCAGTGGAAGCACAAGGCGAAGGCAGAGGAGGAGGAAGAGGTCATCAATGCAGCTGGGGCACCACCAGCACCTCAGAAGGCAGGGTTAGCATGGCCGAAATGTGGAAAAGCTTTGTCAGCACGCCACAACAACCAGCACCAGCAGCTGATATGGAATGTCTTAGCAGGAGGCAGCATTTCAGCAACATGTTGGAACAGTACGTGTGCACACGCCTACACATACTGAGTGATGGGTCTGCCCCAGTCAACTTCTGGGTCTCCAAATTGGGCACATGGCCTGAGCTTGCCCTATATGCATTGGAGGTGCTGGCCTGCCCTGCAGCAAGTGTATTGTCTGAACGTGTGTTTAGTACGGCAGGAGGCGTTATCACAGACAAGTGCAGCCGCCTGTCCACAGCCAACGTGGACAAGCTCACGTTTATTAAAATGAACCAGGCATGGATCCCACCAGACTTGTCTGTACCTTGTGCAGAATAGACATTTATACCGGCCTTACCCAGTCATTGTTATACTCAAGTGCACTTATTCTTTGTATTCTTTTTTATATGTCCCAGTTGAAAGGGTTTATGTTCTTTTCTGGATTCAACTCCCCTCGATTCTCGATCCTCCGGTCACCACATCAATTGATGGGAATTCTTGTTAGCAAATTTAAGACACAGACATGAAAGAGTGCTTAACAAGTTCTCAATGAGTATATTTTCAGGGCTAGCATTTATACACAGTTTGTCACGCAAGCAGCAAGATTTATCACTTCCTTAAAGTTAGTAGTACATACTTGTCTGACATTAAAAAGATAAGCATTTGAATAAAGACGGCACAGTAACATCCTGAGGTCGAGCAAGGTCATACATCCTTGGTACAAAATACATCTTCCAAAGTCAGCATAATTATTTCAAACATTATTTTAAAGCATATAAAGTTAACCATTCCATATCCTTACAGTCAGCACTAATGATTATAAACCTTATCTAAGCATAAAATACATATGAACAAGGAAAGTTAACTATTTCATATGCTTACATTCCCCTCTTTGAGCAATAAAAAAATTGCTCATCTTATCGGTTAAAATCTTCCCAGGACAGAGACACTTCCACATTATGGCATTTCCAAGCAATCATGTGGTCTACAAGAAACAGAAACTCAGCAGGAAAAAAGACACTTAATACTTTTACAGACAGATATATAGAAAATGGATGTTTAAGACAAAATGGAACTTGGGCTTATAGCAAATATATTATTGCAAATAGCTGAAATGTTAACCAATTTTAAACAGACTAACCAGCCTGTCATCTGTAAGCCCTGGGTAAATATGGGCAAAGTTTATTATTCCCAACAGTTATTTTCCTCCTTTGTCCACGGAAGTGGGCGCATATAGTCAAAGTGGGAATAATACCTATCCCCCGTCCAAGGACCGGGGTCTAGGATTACCAGTCCACCCGATGATCTGGTGCCAGGCAAAAAAACCCCAGTGGCAAAAACTCATATTTGAGGAAAAAGCACATCTGGGGAAAACCTGAGTGGGGGCCACGATCGTGTTAGACATGTCATCCCCTCACAGTTGACACCACTTGTGACTTATAATACCCGCACCTGTGAGTACATAGCTCAGGTATCGGGAGGAATTGGGAAACACTTCTTATGTATTAATTCATGAGATAATTTATAATCTAGCTTGAAATTCTGACAATAACCAGGACCTTCAAAAGAAAAAAGAAAGGACTACTGCCATAGAATAGGTAAGGTTAAAAGTTAACTTTTAATAGTCTAATTGAAATAAGATAAAGAGTGAATGTAAGAACTCTCAATACACCAAGGAGGAGTATAAAGAGGCGAATAATACACATCAATTGAATGATTATAGTGTCCAAATTGTTGCAACTTGATCATTTGACATATAATCAGCAGTTAGATAGTGTGTAAAATTGTTCTAAATTGATACTTTCAAATGGCTAAATAGTTGCAAATTACTGCTTACTATTGATTAGTGCTGCAAACCAATATGTAAATACTTGTCTATAAGAGGTAGAAACGATTAATGAAAATCCCAATATGAGTTTATAAAAAGATATTGCAAAAAACTAACTGACGCGCGTTTTGCCCTTGAAAAGCCACCTTACCGGCGAAACGCGCGTCGGGGTTTTTTCTGGGAGATTGCTCCCCTTTCTCAAACCACCATTAATTACTTCGAACTTTATATATCACGTACTGGGGTCATTTTGTACCGTTCAGCATAGTAATCATTTTTACAAAGATAGTTTATTGGGGTTTGGGGTATGCTTATCAGGGCTTTTTTCCTTCCGACTAGTAGCTAACTTAGGATTGTAGCAGCGGCAGTTGATCTTGAAAGCATAGTGAGATGATTTACATAGACAGTAATCACTAGTATTTAGACACTAGCAACTGCAGCTTTAGTTTCTAGTAACAAGCAGTGATTCTCCTATTTAGAATACGTAGAAATAGTCCACAGTATTCATTGGGATGTCCGGCAGATTTATTTCTCATTTATTTTTTGGCCAGTTAGCTTACTTAGTGGGGTCTTGTAGAGGTAGGTGCCCATAAAGGCACAGTTAGTTTTTTGCAATATATTTTTATAAACTCATATTGGGATTTTCATTAATCGTTTCTACCTCTTATAGACATGTATTTACATATTGGTTTGCAGCACTAATCAATAGTAAGCAGTAATTTGCAACTATTTAGCCATTTGAAAGTATCAATTTAGAACAATTTTACACACTATCTAACTGCTGATTATATGTCAAATGATCAAGTTGCAACAATTTGGACACTATAATCATTCAATTGATGTGTATTATTCACCTCTTTATACTCCTCCTTGGTGTATTGAGAGTTCTTACATTCACTCTTTATCTTATTTCAATTAGACTATTAAAAGTTAACTTTTAACCTTACCTATTCTATGGCAGTAGTCCTTTCTTTTTTCTTTTGAATTATATCAGTTAGGGTTAACCCCTTTACTGCCTAAGTTTCAATACCATTAAGCTTCCACTCTCCCTTTCTTTCTCATAACCAGGACCTTGCATCCTATATCTTTTAACCATTTCCCTATTCCAAAGGTCCAGTCAAAACCAGTCATATCCTCACGCAGTTCCTCAAAACATGGGAATCCATCCTTGGCACACTCAACATTTATCAAAAACACACATAATACATCCATCCCTGGGTCAGCTAACACTTCCTCTCTCTCCGGCTAACTCTACAAAAGTAAAAATTAAAATAGTTCAATAGTTCAGCATAGTTCAGAAAAATAGTATAAGTCTTTCACAGAGTATAAAGAAATCAGTTTAGACACCAGACATTTTGTTCCACAAAATGGCTAGGGTAGCAATATGGCTAACAACAAGACAATGTCAGCTTCCACGTAGTTCTTCTTTTGTTTGCTGGATTTTCACCACAATGCTCTGTGCAACACCCCAATGGTTGAAAGGGTTATTACAGAACCAGCGGTATTAGACAGAACTGCACCTTCAGGACTTTCCAGGTTCTTGCGTGCAAAGTTTATGTCCTAAGTATCTCAGTTTCTTCGGCCTGCATTGATAATGACCAAACAGATGTAATTGCAAAATACTTATTGCATGGTCAGCCGGAGAGATTGATGTGTAGTCCCAGAAATCAGGTGGCACAAACAATCCAGGACGGTCTCTACAATCATACAAACACAAGGATCAATACAACATCAATTAATTAATTACCTAGGCTAAAACTTAAATTAGAGATTAAGGTTGAACCCTTAACTTGTGTAACATGTACTTCTCTTACATTTGCTTATATTTTATGCAATCTGTCTTCTATGAAGTTTTACATAATATCCCTTTGGAATGCCTTTGTACGGATGAGAGAAGCACTCACTCTATAGAAATGCTTGTTAGGATAAATATTAAAACACTAACATTTACATATACATTCCCAATAAAACTCTGTTCCTAAACTTGAACCTTGATTTGATACTCAAAATTAATTACTTTAATAATCCCAAATAATTCAATACTCTTGGATTAACACCTAAAGCTATATAAAATATTAAAAACATGAACCATCTGTGTATTAGGCTGGGATTGTTGGGTGTGGGTTTTGTGGTTGGTATTGAGGAATCTGTGGGGGTGGATTTGGGCACTCATTTATCCAGTGACCCTGCTATCCACAATTAGAACTGTGTGTTCCACCAATACTGAAGTTGCTACCTCTACAAAAGTTAGCATCTTTTGACCAAATCCTCTACCTTTGCCTTTAAAATTTTTCTGATTCAATCTCCTATCACCTCCCAAATTTCTTTGTCTCGCCTGCTTAGGATCACAGTCCTTGTGACTGATACAACATACCTTTTCCTTCTTTCTTTCTATCAAAACAACTTGCTTTATCTTTCTCATGAATCTTCCCAATAAATTCATTTGGGGTCAAAAAGGGCCAGTCACAGACCAGCAAGGAACAAAAGTGAACAAGGAGGAAGCATATTCCATATGCAGGTCGGGATTACCGAACTCACATCCCCTCTTTGTGTACCACACAGATATAATATTAATAAGCTTTTAAAGGTTTAATGGATAGTTAAATTGTGTATAAAAAGCAAGGTTGTCTAGGGGTATATACATCGACAATGAAAGCATAGCCTTCATATAGGGCTTGCAATACTGACAGTCTGTGTCATGAGCATAATGCAGACATGCGGTTAGGTACTTTTCCATTGTTATAATATATTGAAAACACTAAGACTTTGCAAATTTTTAAAACACATATTGCTTCCTGTACCTGGGGCTGTGCAAGGATGTAGTTGGGATATATTTCAAATTGAGCATCAAAAGTCTAACCACAAAACTATATGTTATACACTTCTTAAGAAAACAAGTTTAACCCGTTAGTGCATACTTTGGATAGCCACTTTGCATAATTTCGCAACTAGTGAGATTATTATATTATTTA